ACTCGCGGCTCGATTGGACTCTTGTTGTGTCAGAAAGTGATAAGACTTTCAGTTTTATGGACGTCGCCATCTTTGATTTTACTTTGGTCACTGTCACTATGGTTACTGGTAAGGAATACGGGCTTGACTCCTGTTGCATGTTCATACAGACAGTATTCTAAACACAACTGTAAGCTGTAAGCAGGAACTGGAGTGCTGAATGATTTGGCAAAAACCAGCATAATAAGACATACGGTGGAATAGTGCCTCATTTCAAGTCAGAGTGACTTTCAGGCAAGTCCTAAACGAGTTTTGATTGAGTAACTTGTAGATCTGTGTTGACTCGAGTCGAGACCTTTTTAGGGTGCTTTCACACTAGCACTTTTGGTCCGCACCCGAGTTCGACTGATGTCAGAGTTCGGTTCGTTTGGATGATGTGAATGCTGTCTTCCAAACTCGGGTGCGCACCTGCGAACCATACCCGAGTCCGCTTAAAAAGGGTGGTCTGGGGTTCGGTTCCTGTGAACTCCGGTATGATTCGCTGCTGATGTGAATGCAATCGTACAAAATCACGTAAGTGAACCACTATTAATGATGTATAATTTGATAAAAATGTGTGTTTGTGTGTGCGTTTCACTCAATTTCCTGATGAGCATGACTGATGCGCTCCAAGCAAAGAGCTGTATATCTTATTTCTGTTCACCTTCAGCGTTCTTTAGAGCATTTGCAGTACATTCGTAAAACAATCGTAAGATTCATAAGTGCCGTTATGTACTGAAGCTTTGGAAACGAAACCAATGGTTCAAAAACATAAATATATCAAAATGAAGAGAGCAACTATGCATTTTGCTGACTTCTCCTGCGCCGTCGTTACTTAAGCAACGGGGTAAACAGCTGCTGGCTTGATGATGCAAACGAACCGCAGTTCCAAATAAAATAATATGAACGCAGTCCAATGGGGGCAGGGGGAGGGAGGAGCAATCAAACTCAGATTCGGACCAGGCAAGCGAACCAAGTGTGAAAGCACCCTTAGTCTAAGTTAAAATCAGTTAAGTCTGATTTGATGAACTGGTTCACCAAATGCTAATTAAGCAGTGAGTTGCATTGTTAGAAACACAGCCCTGTATGACTTTCTTCAGTGGAACGGAACCCAAATATATATATATATATATATATATATATATATATATATATATAAATGATTTTTGCAAATGCAATGAAAATCAAAAGGGGTCTAGTGTTGTTTTGGACCCTATTGACTTCCATTGTATCCCTTTAATCCCATATCGCTTCAGCACACGAATACGGAAAATGTGAAACATTCCAAGCACTTGTGAGTCTAAGATGAATGCAGCTGGAGCCACAAGTCCATTTGTCCTGTGAACCACCACTCATCAGTCTTTTCTCAGGTTTGCCGTCGTCCCGAATGCAAACGCAAAGAGGAAGAACTCCAACAGGCCATTTTCTTCTTGGAGCAAATATAATTTTCAGCGACACCACTGGTCTTGTTCATTTATTAGCTGCCAGCAGCTGTGTGTACAATGGCCAAAGCTTGGGAGCTGTCCAGTCCTGAAAACAGAGGATATACCAGGAAACAAAAAGAGAGAGAGAAGCTTGTATTGGAGGACCGAGTGCCTGAAGAAGCACTGTGCAAATTGCTGGCATAATTATCAGGCTTCTTTTCCTTCTGGACCTCTCCCACAGGGTAAGCGATAAAACATTTTCTAAATGAATTTTTAAACCACAAGGTAGTGTGGTTTTGTCTTGAGCAGACCTGCGAGCCAAATGGAATCTTTTCAAGACAGAAAAAGAATTAGGGCTGAAAAGAAATTAAAATTAATATTTTCTTCTCCCTCTACGAAGTTAAACTCTTACAGTCCCATTTCGAAAACCAGCAAAACACAGACCAGGTGTCATGATTCATTTGTGGTGTTTAAGGAGGCAAATGCCCGTTCTGAATAATGTATTCCAAGTCTGGGCATCGATAAATATTCAGACTTCGGCGGATTGGCGGGTGACACATGTAGTAGAGACAGCTGCTGCCAACTGCTTCCTCTGGCTCATGGGATTAGACACAACTACTCTTACTTGTCAGCTGTCAATCAAGACTTCACACACAAGGTAAAACACCAACCTGGATGACTGTGGACATAAATTAAGACTTATATTGGCATTTATTCACCACACAATCAGAAACAGACCATTAACTTTGCATAATTAAACACAGCCTTTGTCACAAATCAGCACCTGGCTTATGCAGGAACACAAAACTAGCACAAAGTTTCCTTGAATTTGCATCTACCAAAAATGTATAGAGTAATTTTAGTAGACCTGGATGACTGTGGACATAAATGAAGACATTTACTGGCATCTATTCACCCCCGACACAAACAGACCATCAACTTTGCATAATTAAACACGGCCTATGCAGGAACTCAAAACTAGCACAATGTTTCCCTAAACTGCATCTACCAAAAATTTCCAGACTAATTTTAGTAGACTTGGTTCATTAAACACAGCGTATGTTAATTTTCGACAAGGACATTATCTCCTGGAATCCGAAGGCATTTAGCTTTCTGGATGCTATTCAAGTACAATTTCAATTCCACCTGTCAGCACAACCCCCCCCTCATACGATTGTTGGGACTAAATTATGCAGTCGAGCGGAAACGCGTATTATTAAAATGTGAGAATCAATCAAGTGCCCTCTACAAGTCACCCAATGCCAAAATGGTTGCGCTCAGAGGCAATTTCCACTTTTTGAGACAAGAGACAACATGCTCAAAGGTGCTCCTCTGGCATTTACGATTATACAGGGAGAAGAGGGTGCTCAGATAAAGAGCAGAATGGATGCCCCAAGGAGATTTACCGAGGTTCTGGAGCCAACTTGAAAGGCTGCTTGGTTTTGCAAGACTGAGTTGCTCCGCTGGGACTCGGGGGTTAGAAAGAAAGGTCTTTGAACCTGGAGGCACCATATCGGAGCACTCACCCTGATATAGATGCAAGCAGCACCGGTTTGCTTGAGGGTGACAGGGTATGAGTTTAGCAACACAGCCTCAGCGGCCACCCATATGTTTATTTGATCAGTTAAGATCAGGGATGGGCTAAAATGCTGGCCAATATGGTAAACTAATGGTTATGTTATGGTGATAACCAATAAACGGGCAATATTATTTTGTCTAAAATAAAAAATTTAAATAAATATAAATAAAAATGAATAAAAATGTAATTAAATAACTGTAAAAACTAAAATCAATAATTTTAAAAGCTGCAAGTTAATTTAGGCATCCATAATAATGGATATTATGAAAAAGGTTATTCATTTTGATATTTGCAAAAAAAACTGTGTTTAACAATGTTCAAATATGAAAGATATGGCTGATAATCAATCAATGGCTGATATTAAAATTCTATATAAAAAAATAAAAAAATAAAAATAAAAAAGGAAATAAATGTAAATACATTTTAAATAACACAAAAAATTAAATCTATAATTTTTTTACGTTATATTTAAGTGAATTTAGGCATCCATTATAATGTACAGTACAATAAAAAAAAAAAAATTCAAAAGTTGTAAATAAAACATTTGTGGAGTACAATTCACAATACCATTTTAAAACAGTACAATCTTTCTACTTCTGAATTTCATGTTTAATTCAATATATTGCTGTTTGTTTGTTGTTTATTCGTGAAATTTACTAGCAATTTCTGAGTGAAAATTGTTTCTTTTTTTTGGTCAGTATATGAAAAATGGATATTCAGATTTGCTATTAAAAATCTAATATACCAGCTTATACAACTAAAGCCAAACAAAAGCAATTGCTGGAGGTTGTCGAAACGCTGTGCGTTGCTTCCTAATATGCCGCAATATCTGACTGTATGCACTCTCATTGGTAGTCACTGCATGGCTCATCTGCATAAAGTTGGACTCCAACTTTGTTGCATCGCTTGTGTCGCCGGAACTCTCAACATAAATGACGGTGCAAAACTGTTCCCAGTATGAGCGCACCATAGGATATACTCCAAAAAAGGTATAAGTCCACCTTCTCCAGAGAGAAGAGAAAAGAAGAGAAGAGGTTACAAACCTTGCCCCACAGTAACCAATTTGCTGCAAACAGCTGCCTGATTCCCAGGGCACCTAGAGCCACAACTCGCACCACTTTCTATTCCTGATGCTCTTTGACAAATAACACACATCTTCACATTCACAAGTCACTCTCTTGCACTTTTCTTTTGTCAGCATCAAGACTTGTTGTAGACTGATGCAAGAAGCACCTGGAGTGCTCCGTCAGGTAGAGACTCAGGGGTTCAGACCGAACAGAGACAACAGAGTCAGTCACGACAGAATGCCAAGAGAAATTCGGCTCAGTCTTCCTCTCCCACCAGCTACACGCTGTCATCGAGGCAGGCATAAGACTGGCAGCGCTCAGCACTTGTCAGCTTTTAACAGCATCCAGCTGACACTCTGCGAAGGAGAAAAACAATGCGGGGTCCCTTTCAATCCCAAAATTCTCGCTCACTATTTCTGATGGGATTTCTTTTCACATCAAGGCATTACTGCAGATGACAGCTTGCAGGTGGGGGGTTATATCAAGGCAAAGAAAATGACTCACTTGAGTGGATCTGGGGAAAACCGGACAAGAACATTGCATTTGATTGCATTTGAACCCACAAGTACTTTGCAAATCACTTAATATTTCAGAGGATAAGTGATTAATAGGTCTGAGAACAGCACAAATATCTGATTTTAGAAATTAGATAGCAATCTACTCTTCGTGTATTTAACATTTCACCATGATGTCATTCAAAACATGGTTTATAAACAGTCTTCTGCTCCGAACAGTCGTCCAATATCGTTGTGCTCCTGGTTTTGTCCCCTTGACTGTCCTCACTGAGGTACTGCGCTTGGTAAGGGGGCTGAATATAGCCTGTCCTGAACACAAAACATCCTACACCACGTTATATATTAATAATGAAGCGAGACGTAATCAGTTAAGCACAAAAACAATGCGTGTTCTCACCTTCTCCGAAGTAAAGCGCGTCGTCGCCTCAGAAAGTCCACAGGAATGCCGCGTCGCCTCAGATACAGCAGAGTAGATGATAACAGCCGCCGAGGTTAACCATTCAAATCTGTTCAGCCTCAGAAACGTGTTAAAACGAACTCCTTACTTCGTTAAAATCGTTCAAAAAGCACGGTATTTCTCCTCAGCCCGAGTCCAGAGAGGAGCTCGAAACGGCGCGCACTTCGCCGGTCGCGAGGAGAGACACTGAACAAAAGCGCGTGCGGAGGCTCACAGCGGTTCCCCCCTCACCGAATGAACGGAGCAGATGCTGAGGCAAGAGAGTGCGTTAGACGGTGTATAGCCAATTCTCTATGGACTTCGGTGGGGGGATGGACAATATGTTGCACAATATTTCAGCGATTCCGTCCTTTGTTTGGTCATTTGCTTGGCCAGATTTATTGCGGTGCACAGGGTGCGAATTGTGGAGAATTTGGGGGTTCATCTGACTCCTAGTTATTTGAATCCACCAAAACGAAGTTACAACAGTCCCTTACAAAAATTAGCCATGGTTTTACAACCAAAAAAGCATACCCTTATACGAAAATTAACCATTTACTACAAATTAAACCAAAAAACCATGGTAACTATAATTAAACCATGGTAACCACAAATGAACCATGGTTTTGCTACACTAACCATAGTTTAACCATGGTATTTGTAGTAAAACTGTGGTTATACAAATGGTTACTACAGTTTTACTACAATAAAACCATGGTTAATTTTCGTAAGGGTAGTAGCTAATATAGTTAATAGTTAAAAACAAAAACATAGTAATAATATAGTTAAACCACGGTAACCTTAAATTAACCATGGTTTTGCTACACTAGCCACAGTTTGCAGTAAAATTATGGTTGTACAAATGGTAATCAATTCTCCCATAAAAAAAAGTATGTGGGTTGTAAAAGTATGTAGCCTTTACATACTGTATGCATATATATGTGCATATTTAAACAGTGTTTCAAGCCACCAAGTACCACAAAATATATATAAATTAATTAAATTATTACAGGTAGTTAGAATGCGCTGAATAGAAGCTATAGCAAACAGAAGTCAGGTTGCCTGGTGGTGACAATAGCAACGTTCCTCGCATTTCTGTACGGATTAGTATGTGAAAATACGTCGACAAAACACACTTTTTATTCTTAATTTTTAAACTTTAGCGTTCATCAACATTGTTTTTAACGACCAAGTGCCACAAAAGTTAGATTACGAAAAAAAATTACTCTATTGTTATTTATCTTCTAAATGTTAGTGTTTATTACAAATAGGCTATGATATATTCCAGGTCTTATTGTTTTATCGTAATGGAATCAAACATTTAATGATTGTTTTTGACTGAAATAACGTTTAAAATCCATGGAACTTTTCCAATGCACAAAAGGTTCTTTATAGTGGAAAAAGGTTCTTCAGATTATTAAACCAAGAAAACGGTTTCTTTCAAGAACTGTTAACCGAAAGGTTCTTTAAGGAACCCAAAATGGTTCTTTTAAGGTATTGCTATGAAACCCCCATTTGGGAACCCTTATTTTTAAGACCAAAAAGGTCCCAGTTTTGTCAGATTTAACAACCAAAATTGTTTAAATTCACCTAAAATGCTTATTTTATACTTTGGGTTATATACACAAGTTAATTTTAATAATTTATTAACAACTTTGTTCATTGTGCTTTTGTATATATATATTTATTGCATCGGCCAGATTATCTTCCCATTGTCCTTTATTTGACAAATGTCCACACAAATACCCATTGTCTTCGTAAGCCAACCCATCTACCAATTCTTCTGTTTGCAGATGAATAAATCATCTCAGCATCCCAAGGAGCCTTTAAAAAAAGCTCTGGAGAACCTGACTTGCCCCGTTTATGACAGAATAATGATATCCCTCGAGATGCTGTAAATCTGTTCCTAGGGGCCACGCTGTAGTCCACTGACACACATGTCACCCGACCTATAGAAACCCACTCACTTAACACTACCCCCAGTTCAGTCGTTCATCACATTCATCACTGTCATCTGATTACAGATGTTACTGTGTAAACAAATCACAACAAACCGCAAAGCCTCTTCTCAGTGTTCCTGTTGTGATGCCTCGTCTTATAATGAACATAACAGCTGAGGGAAAAAAATGTGAGGGCTTTCGCTTTGAAGCCCTCAAATGTTGCAGCTGATCATTAGCGTACATTAGGGACACAATAACCATTATACTTAATTGAAAAGAGATTATTTCTTATACAGGATGTTTGAATAAATGCCACTCATAAGCTAAATATAATCTTGGCAGCAGGGCTCTTTGAAGGGAAATGGTAGGGATTTAAAACACTAGGCTAACTGGCTCTATAATGGCTTTATAGCAAACCGAAAAAGGCATGAACATGAGAAATAAGATTTTTCTGACTAACCGCATGAGGAGAAAATACCCTGGTGACATATATATAACAGATAGTCCCCAAAAAAATATATGCCCCATTGTTCCAGACTCCCTCAAAACGGTATTGTCAAGGGACGCTGGCCAAGGCGTAATACACACTGCCACACAAATCCATTATTTAAACAGCTGACAATGTAACGGTCAATGAACAAAGGACTCCTCGCAGTGGCCCTCAAAAAGAACAACACAATATGGATGATTTTCAATGGGTCGCCAGCTGACTGTTTTAATATTATTTATTTTTTACCAACACTTTCCTCTCCATCATTGCTGCAAGTCTGATCTCAGAGAGTCATAACAAAAACATCTCTGAGGAACATAGTACTTTGTTAAAAGGCGGCAAACAAGATGTCACCATTCAAAAATAGGCACAGACCTGTTATTGCCTTCATCTGGGGAATTAAATGCGTATAATAATACTATGCTTGGAGAAAATTGTTGAAATACAACGTGTTAAAATGTGCTCAGATTACTTTGATTCATTTCATGGATGCTTTTATCCAGTGCAACTTATGAATATTAATATACAAAATGAGCCAAATATTCTTTAAATATAGTGAATATTTCAAATTTACACTATTTGGTCTTACAGTATCATCAAAACAAGGGTATGGACCTCTAAACCCTTGTTTTCAATTGGGGGTCTGTGGATTCCTGGGGGTCTATGAAACTAGAGGGGGTCCATGGAACAGATATATAATTAAATTCAATTCAAGTTTATTTGTATAGCACTTTTCATGATACAAATCGTTGCAAAGCAACTTTACAGCAAATTAAGTTTCCACAATATATTTAGTATAGCTTATCAGTGGTGACTGTCGGTTTATGTACATATGGCAGAACTGTACAGAAAAATCAATTACACTATTAACAGCAATTATTATTTGATGCAATCAAACTTATAGCAAAATGTGGTAGTTCTGTATGTTGTTTCAGGGTTGGCATCATCTGAGGTCCTCTGAGGGGTTGGCATCATCTCTTCTCAGGTGTTCTGGATCCAGACTGAAGCTTGTGTAAATCCTTGCAAAAACAAAGAAACAAATAGAGATATAATTAGCGTAGCTGCTGTTCCAACCAAGCAAAATGTATTTGTTTAACCCAAACTAAAGAATAATAATGTGCATTTGATCAGATATAACTGCAGTACAAGATTATGAGATGCATTATTTGAATGCTTGGCCAAAGAGATGTGTCTTTAATCTAGATTTAAACAGAGAGAGTGTGTCTGAACCCCAAACGTTATCAGGAAGGCTATTCCAGAGTTTGAGAGCCAAATGCGAAAAAGCTCTACCGCCTTTAGTGGACTTTGCTATCCTAGATACTACCAAAAGTCCAGAGTTTTGCGACCTTAGGGACCGTGATGGATTGTAGCGTGGCAGAAGACTAGTTAGGTATGCAGGAGCTAACCCATTAAGGGCCTTATAGGCAAGTAATAATATTTTGTAACTGATACGGAACTTAATAGGTAGCCAGTGCAGAGACTGTAAAATTGGGGTAATATGATCATATTTTCTTGACCTGGTAAGGACTCTAGCCGCTGCATTTTGGACTACCTGTAGCTTGTTTATTGAAGATGCAGGACAACCACCTAGCAGTGCATTACAATAGTCCAGTCTAGAAGTCATAAATGCATGAACTAGCTTTTCTGCATCAAGAAACAGGTCACATGTTTCGTAACTTGGCGATGTTTCTAAGATGGAAGAATGCTGCCTCTTGAACACCACCCTCCGCGTGTCGGTAGCCCCCCGGGATCACTAGATTGGTCGGCGCCGGACTGCAAATTTAACCACCCGTAACCCCCGAACCCCGGGGGCTATCCACGCGGGGGTGGTCTCATTCGAAAGAGGGCCTCGAAACGTACAATCGATTCGCGTTCGAGAGGGTTCCTTGAGCTGAAGAGATCCCCTGAATTTGGTGAGGATTCGCCACGCCGTTACGGAGATATGGCCGTTTAAAGTTTCAATGGTTTTCCATTGACTTAAGCTTTAAAGCGTTTCTTCCAGGTCCCCAGTAGCAAACAATGGAGCGCGCTCTGCTGGACAAACTAAGTAATTACACCATTTCAAGCATTTTATCTGCATTACATGTTCTGTAAAAAAAAAAAAAAAATTCATATCGGCGGCATATCCGCCGATACCGATATATCGGCGACAGGCTCATATCGGCCAATAATATCGGCAAACGATATATCGGTCGGGCTGTATATAAAACATATGGACATTTCTTGAAAAATGTCCATATATATTTTTGGCTGGTTCTCTTGCTTCGTCAGTTGATTCACTTGACTCTATACAGCATAAAAGCTTTATAAATGAATCCAAAACACAGAAAAGTCAACAGTAGGTTAGCGTAAAGCAAGTTGTTATACATTTTCAATAAAATAAAAGAAAAAAATTTAAATAAAAAAAAATTCAATACAATTTAAAAATATAATAAAATACAATTCAAAATATGATAATGTGAAATTGAAAATAAAGTATAAAATTAAAATAAGATACAAAAATTTGAATAAAATAAATGTAAAACAGGCATTTTTATAAAATGCTTTTTATATGAGTAAGATTATAATATTAAACAAATTAAAAATAAAATAAAATGAAATAAAATAAAACATAAAATATAAAAAAATAACAGCTAATATAAAGTAAACATTAATAACAAATAACATAAAATAAAGAAAACAAAATATAAAAATGAAATACAAAAAAATGATTTTTTTTTTAAAAGCAT